ATGACCTGAGAAACTTGCTCACAGTTTTGCCTCAATATTTAAATCCAGTCAAGAAAATTTCAGGAATTTAGTAATGTAAATTTTATTACTTTTTAAAATTCTATTGTTAAAATGTTGTACAGAGGCGTTACAAGTACATGAGTAAGGCAATGAGTACATGACTTGTCCATCACTGTTACTCCTTCTTTCCTTGTTGTTGTCCCACTATTCCTTCCCTCCCCCACCTCCCACACTCCTATCTCCCCTCCCCCCTCACTGCCTGAAGTTGTAAAGTTCATTTCCAATATATTGTCCCGTGGGTATCATTGTTGCAATGGGTAATCCTGTGTCCTTGTTTCATGTTTTGTTATTCCCTTTCCCTCCCCAGATTAGACAAATGTATATGCAAGATGCAGGGTATCAAAATCAAGTACAGTGACAACAAGGGATATGCCATACAAAAGAAACAACAACAACAAATAAAATCACATGGTACATTTAAAACAATAACAATAAAGACAGATCTCTTGTGTCCATATCTTTGGGTTCATTTCACTTAGCACTATCTATCTATCTATCTATCTATCTATAGTAAAAAATGTTGTACAGAAGGGTTACAGTTACATGAGTAAGGTAATGAATACATTTCGTAGTGAGCATTGTTACCTCTTCCTTTGTTTTTCTCCTACCATCACTTCCCTACCCACTTCCCCAACCCCGACATTTTAAAGTTCGTTTTCAACATAGTGTCCTGTACATCTTCATATGACTACATGAGATAATGTTAAGCAAAATGTACCCCAAGACAGGGACACAAGTGGTTTATTCTTTCTTGCTAGTGTTTTTAATGTACTTAGAATGCACTATGTGATTCTTTTGTTTCTTTTGTATGTTCTTACCCCACAGTATAACCCCTGTTTTCATGATTTGATGCTGGTGTCCTGCATCTTGTATATATATTTTTGTAATTTGGGGAGGGGAAGGAATATTGGGAACACTTAAATGGGGATGCAGGCTGACTTAGCATTGTCTTATATGGTCATTTGTACATGGTTTTTGAGCTTTTCAGCTCATCTGAAAAGATCATTCTACATGCATACTAATTATTGCAAATAAGGGAAACCATGGGAGCTATATTTCTTTGGGCCTGGCTTACTTCACTTAGTATGATTTTTTTTTTAAGTCTTTCCATTTCCTAACAAATGGAGTGGTGTCGTTCTTTTTGATGGAAGCATAGAATTCAATTGAATGTATGTACCACATTTTCTTGTTCCACTCATCTACTGAGGGGCATCTGGCTGGGTTGGTTCTATATCTTAGCTATGGTAAGTAATGCTGCAAATAATTGTTTTTTATTGAAGAACTGGAATTATACTGAGTGCTTAGTTTAACTATATTGTACCTGTTAACATTATAAATCACATATTTGCCACTCACAATCTCTTTTCTGAAACCCATACTCCATGTGCTACATGCTACATGTGTTCTTTAGAAGAGTAACATGTATTAGCAGGAAGCCTTTAAAAATGTAATTTTGTGAGATTCTTGGTTTTACCAGTCATGGTCTTGCTTGAATAACAAGACCTAATAATCATTTTTCTGTACAGCAATGAATGCACAGAGATCAATGAATCCACTCAGAAGAGCTGTTTTGAAAATGAACTATTTGGAGCAGGGTACTTATGTTAGCTTAAAAGAAAGACAAACATTTTCAGCTCTTAGAATTTCTCATCAGGAGTTCAGCAAATAGCATCTGTTCAAGTAATATTTAAAACAAGCCTTTGATGTCCAGGAAAAAGAGCCATTCAGAAATTTACTGAGTAGTGACCTGGTTTGTATGGGCCTTAGTTGCTAAATTATATATTTATATAAAGAGATAATAGAAATGCTTAGAAACTTTTTGTTTAAATGGTATTTTCTACAGTATCTTATCTGCTTCAGTAAACTATAGAATACTTCTTACTACAACTATATCTGTTTTGTTTGTTTTTGTTTTGTTTTCTACTTCTAACCTCCCAGGTAGATGTCAGGATTTCTATTTGGATAGTTTTGCCATGTCAGGTGATACTTTTTATGGCATTTTTGGCTGCTGGAACCTTATTCATAGTAATTGTTAATCTAATAATAGAGTGTATTTAATCTTGAACCTTCCTACATTTCACTTTCTTCATTTTTCTAATTTCCCACGTACTTAAATCGCTAACTGACAGATCATTTCTGCCTCTTCCTCTAAGCTATTATGTCCTCTTCCCCTTTGTCCTCATCTCAAAGAGATTCTATGAATTTCATAAGTATACAAATGTTTTTTCTTTCATGTGATTGTTTCTAACATATTTATAAGATGATTTCTTTGTTGCTTTGTATGTCCCTACCCCACGGTATAACCCTGCTCTCACTGTATTTGATGTTGTTATAATTTGTGGGGGGGAAGGGCAAAAACAAATAGTTTAAATAGGGATACAGATGGACCCATTGCAACAATGAGATGTACAAGTCGTTATGTCGAAAAACTAACTTTACAACTTTGTGGGGGGGGGTTGGGAAAGGGAAACAAGGAGGAGGCAACAATGATTGATAAGAAATGTACTCATTATCTTGCCCATGTAATTGTAACCCCTCTGTACGGTATTTTCACAATAAAAACATTTTTGTAATTTTTTTAAAAAAAGATTTTCCAGTGGTTTGTTTTAGTCTGTCATGATTAGTTTAATGTAGGATCAAACATTTTTGTCTGTTTTTTTTTTTTTGGTCGGTCTTGAACTCTGGGCCTGGGCATGCTCTGCCCCTGGGCTCTTCAGCTCAAGACTAGTGTTCTATGACTTGAGCCACAGCACCACTTCCAGGATCAAACTTTTAATGACCCTATTGACCACCGAACCTGGGCTGACTTTTCCCTACTGAAACTTTGTACATCGTTGACTTGCTTAGCCCTTTTTGCTCTTTGGGAGAAAAAAATTAGCCTAACATTGCTATGAATTAGCACTACCCAATTCCAAGTGGTAGAATCTGAACTCAGAGGTTTTAAGAAGCTTTTAATTTATCAAATGAGAATGAAGTAGTTATTGGAAATCTGTGGGTGGCTTGTGTGTAAGAGTCAGAAGAGAACCAGCTCATTTTCTGAGTGAGGACAGATTACTCCATGTCACTGTCTTGGTAGCTCTTCTTGTCCATACTGCACTTTGTGTGTACCTACTGTTTCCTCCTCTGTCTCACTGTCCCTATCTCTTTTTTGGTTTTAGAATAAACTATGGGAAACAGTTCCTGCTTGGAGTTGTCCACCAGGTTATATAGTTCAGAACTCTTGCATCTGTCTTTTTATTTTCTCTCTGGGTGATGACATTAATAGGAAAAGATGGATAGATTTGTCATTTGGCATAGGGTAAACATTCTTTGAGCATAAAAATTGGCCATTTCATCCATGAAAGTTTATTAGCTGAGATGTCTAATGTACATAGCCAAAAAATTGCTGGTATTCTGATCCTGTCAGTAGAGAAATTTCACAATAGAATAAGTATGTAGTTTTCTTTATGTTAATAAGATAAAGCCAGTTACTTTAATGTCAGAAGGATTGAAAGATTATGAAATTTTGGCTCAGTGAAAATTAAAAATAGTTTAAGGTTTGGAATAGAGCGATCTCTATATTGGTCTCATTGATGTTTGCTATCTTTTAGGAACCATGATTGGTTTTCACTTGTTGTAGATGAGAACTGTGGTCGGATGGTGCTGCCTCCTGATTCATAGTCAGCAAGTGGTGTAATTAGAGTATGAAAAGGAAGCAGTCACTTTGGTTTTGCTGTTTGACTTGTTTTTGATTTTTTTTAGTTTTGGTTTTCTAGTTGCTTAGATTTTTAAATAGGTATCAACATTTGAGGAAATTCTTCACTTTAGAAAAGTGATTCATTTTATAAAAGAACTCCTGAAATTCATGTGGTGGAATAGCCCTTTTCAGTATTTTTTTTTAAATCTTAAGCCCAGTTATTTGACATTTTGATTAGTGATCTGCAAGGTATATTCAAAACTGTACAAACTATTTCCAGTTGACAACTAAGTAGGAACAGAGTTTCTCAAAAATGACTTTACCACTGTTTCCACTAACCTTGTTTTCCAAAATTTGTTTTACCTGCAACTTTCTAGGAACCTTGCCATTATGTGTAGAACTTCTTGTTATTGACGTTTTTCAAAATGTCTTGTGACAATTGCAATGAATAATATCAGAACTCATTGTGAGTCATCCTTCTATTAAACTATTTGAAATAATACTATCATAGGCATTGTAAAGTATTTGACTATCAATGCCTGCTATGTTTTATGATTAAATAGTCATAAAATTACATTTACTATCTATATGTTAAATACCACAATATACATGATGGATTTGGTTTAGAATTAACTTGCAAAATATAAGTTTTTCTTTAACGTACTGGGACATCAAAAGAGGAACATTTGGAATGTTTAAGAGAACCATCTTCAAGGACTCATTCATAAACAAAAAATATTTTTAGGACTAATATGTATTCTTTGCAGAGATTGATCAGCTCGGACAATTGTATTACATGCCCTGAATGCAATTGTAATGAATCACAGTCCTGAAAAGCTGAAAATTTAATCTGAATTAAATGAGGGAAAATCTTAGTTTTCAGTCAGAAGTATTTTTGAAAAGTCCTGTGAAACTTGATAAGCATGCTTTTATTTGTGTAATATTTAGAACTTCATTCTATTTGTTTAATATTGCTTAAAGGAATAAACGTAATATGGCTGAATGGTGTGTTGCCTTTAGTATTGTTGTCTGAACTTTTTCAAGGTACTGTCGTTTTTTATTTAACCTGCCATTGAGTTCTGGGAAGCAGAGAGGTAGTGGTCATTTCATGCTTGCTTCAAATTGTGTTAGACATAGACACCAATCTATCCTTTACATGTCCTGTTACCTTTAGGCAAGTGTTACTTCACGCTCCTTGACTTCTGAAAGGATCCAGCTTGTCTCAAGTTCAATTATTTTCTAACCTGAGTCTGTTTACTTTTAGGAGCGTGCAGACTGGTGCCTAAAATGGAAGTAGATATAAATGGAGAATCCAGAAGTACTCTGACCACCCTGCCTTTGCCCGTGGCAGAGGGGAGTTCCCCGGGAAAAACAGAGGCAGAGAAACCCCGCTGCTCTAGCACACCCTGCTCACCCATGCGTCGGACTGTGTCAGGCTACCAGATCCTACACATGGACTCTAACTATTTGGTTGGCTTCACAACTGGTGAGGAACTCCTGAAGTTAGCCCAGAAATGCACAGGAGAAGAGAGCAAGGGTGAAGCCATGCCTTCCTTGCGCTCCAAACAGCTGGATGCAGGACTTGCACGTTCCTCGCGTTTGTATAAAACCAGAAGTAGATACTATCAGCCATATGAGATTCCAGCTGTGAATGGCAGGAGGCGAAGACGGATGCCCAGCTCAGGAGACAAGTGCACTAAGTCCTTACCTTATGAACCTTATAAGGCCCTCCATGGGCCACTGCCTCTTTGTCTTCTTAAAGGTAAGAGGGCTCACTCCAAATCTCTGGACTACCTCAATCTAGATAAAATGAACATCAAGGAGCCAGCTGACACAGAAGTGCTACAGTACCAACTTCAACACCTAACCCTCCGAGGGGACCGAGTGTTTGCTAGAAATAATACATGAATGACTTGCTCAGAGTTGAAACCACTTTAGGTTGGCCTGTACTTGGCTAGAGAAAAATCTGCTGTACTCTGTACATGACTCTTCACATTATAGATGGTTATTTCAGCTAAGTGTTCCTGGAACATAAAAATTGTTTGGATCAATTCTGAATACAGGAATGAAATCACAAGTACTTAGGATGGGGGCAGGGGGTGGGGAATATCATTCTAGAGCACGCAACTGCAAAGGAAACAGAATGTTGACCATTAGTTTGTATAGCTATTTAGCTAGGAGAAAAAAGATTTGGTACAGTAATTTCATCTTTCTGCTTCTGACACTCAAACTGAGAATGTTATCTGCTTGGTTGTTGCTGACTTGTATGATTCATTAGAAATTTATATCTCAAGTACTCAAGTACTTCATGAATCTCTGTATTTTACTATAAAATGTATGTAATGATTTGTTCTTTTGAAATTTAGAACTTGAACATTGCTGAATTGGACCACTTTTTATTTTTAAATATTGAGTTTAAATATTTTATAACTGGTTTTGCACTGAAAAAACCTAACATTTCAGATTAAGAGAGTAATCTTTCCTCACTTGCCTCAATAATATTATTGAGCAATGAATTTTTTATTTCCGCATGGAAAGTTATTGATCTCTATGGCTGTAAAATATTTCTTTATAGCGTTATTAAAGTGTGTCTTAATGAAATTAAATTTGGGATACAAAGTATTTATTTTACAATGGGTATGGGGGGGGGAAGCTTTTCCAGAAAGTTTCCAATATGAAGTTTTCATAAGTTGAAAAAGTTTCCTTAGCGCTTATTTTCTAATTTAAAATTCATCCAGAACTTCAAAATGGAAAGGATTCTTCTAATTCTGGATTATAGGCATAATACTGTTTGCATCTGAATTTTCTGTAAGTGAGTGGAACTTAAATAGAGGATCTCATGATTTCTCCTATTGAATGTTTAACTAAGTATGAAGTACTACCATTCGCAAGGCATTGGATCACTCCAGTTTAGTTCCATGCATCACAGTACTCATCAAAATTCCAGTTTCTAGGATTAGTGTAGGAGCCTAAAGGGCTTCTACAGTTTTAATAGGTTAATCCTGGATTACTTAACAATTTATGTCAGTTGAACTGGTTTAAGTTGTTACTAAAGAAATAATGTCTGAGCTTTAGTAACAAACAACAGCTCAACTATTCTGGAATATATTTTGGAAAAAATTGTGTGTAACTTACCTTTTGTAAACATTTTCTTTTTCTTAATCTTAAAGGTGCAATTTATTACTGATCTGGCATTCCTAGAAACATGCAACTGCATATTTTATATTTTCTTTTAGGGACTGTGAGTGTCTTAGGGGTTAGTAATCTTGCTTATAAAATAAGAACACCATTTAATTAATGAGTGGGTTGTTCCTGGTAACAATTGTGATTTTTCTTTAGCCAGAATGAATGGCAAACTTTATTTAGAGCAGTAAGTATTAGAAAACCCTAGGAACTCATAATGTTTATTACACTTTCACAAAGGCAAGCTGTGAAAGAGTCCTGGGAAGTTTGGCCCTTGTCTTACTGAGTTGATCAGATTTCTTGGTGGGCTGGAAATTTTCAGCTGTTGTACATTTTAAAGTAAATTGCACCTTTGTAACATATTGTATTGATGAATGATCACTAAGATGAACTATATCTATACAGTCATTAGTTTGACAAGAAATAGAATCCTGTCAGATGCCAAAGAGTTGGGATTTTTACGTTTAATGATGAAACACCGTTATTTATTGATGATTTACCCTGTGGAACTGTATTATTTCTAACTATGAAATAAAAGGGTGATGTAAATGCACATTGTTATGTGGTGCTTTAAGTCAGATCCACCATCATTGGCTAATAATTCTTCCCAGGTACTTATTTTAAGAACCTATTTTTGTCAGAACAAAAACATGTGCTGGGAATGTGGCTTAGTGATAGAGTGCTAATCTAGCATGCATGAAGCCCTGGGTTCAATTTCTCAGTACCACATAAAAAGAAAATGCTGGAAGTGGTGCTGTGACTCAAGTGGTAGAGTGCTAGCCTTGAGCAAAAGAAGCTCAGGGACAGTGTCCAGGTCCTGAGTTCAAACCCCAGGACTGGCAAACAACAACAACAAAAATCCCTCAAAAACATATACAGAGCTGGAATGTAGCTCAGTGGCAAAATTTGCCTAGCACATACAACTGCCTAGGCTTGATCCCTAATACCCAGAGAAAAGAAAAGAAAAACACTCAACAACATGACATTTGATGCTCATTTAACTATTTAAGGTACAGGATATATTTGTGGCAATGATAGGTATTCAGTCTATGAGAAAACACAACTGTTTACCTGAGTGATCAGACACTGCCCCATGCCTATATTTTATAATGTAGCTTTTTAGTTTAGTCTCGTTTTTCTATTTAAAGACAGATGAAACTCAATTAGCAAAATGAACGAGTTAAAAATGTGAGATGGCATGTTTGTTATTTTCTGCTGAATAAAGGTAGGTACTTAAAAAATTCCAAGAAAGAAAGTTTCAGAATTCCTAAGTTAGTAGTTTTCAGAATGTACCTATAAAGTCATATAGAGTCTTGTACTTGGACTCATCCACTGGGTATTGTTTTGTTGAAGAATAGGGGAGTGAGTGGAACTTTTTGCTGAAACAAACCCCTTGTAGCATATTTTGTATTTTTGAATTCTTTTAAAATATTCCGTTTAATATACTATACTAAACAGAAAATACATTTGACCAGAATATGTCTGATGAGGTATCTTACAGTTCTTATTTCACTACTATATAGTATAGTACCATATAACTTTATTCATTTTTTTTTTTTTAGTTTGTGCCAGCAATGGGCTTAAGCTCAAGGCCTCATGGTCTTGCTTAGCTTTTTCACTCGAGGCTGGAACTCTACCACTTGAACCATACTTCTACTCCTGGCTTTTTCTGGCTAATTGGAGATAAGAGTCTCCCAAATTAGTCTGGTAGGGCTGTCTTCAAATGTTGATCCTAGGATCTCAGCCTACTGAGTAGCTAGGATTATAAGCATGAGCCCTTAGCACTGGTCAACTTTTTTAATGCTATTTAAAAAAGTATAAGAGACTCAGACAATGCATAAAACAATAGAGGCTAAGCCCTTCCCTCAATGACAGGAGGCTGACTCCATCTGACTTCTATCTTATCTCTGCTTACTTTAGCCCCTGTGGGCACAGGCTCCTCCAGTGAGCAGTCTGGGAAGAGAGGACTCATAGGTCAACACATTGGAATCCCTTTGGTCCTCTACTGCTGCTTAGGGGGCTCCTCCTGTTTCAGGTCTATTGAGTCTTATCCAGGTCTCCAAATGCCTTACATATAATAGACATTTGAGGGTCCCTGTGTCTTCTTCCTTCTCTAAGATTTACTTAAACAATTTTATTATTTGGAATGTGGGAAGCTTTTAGCAGATTCTGAGTTAACGTTCAAAGGCAAACTGGTCTTTAATATCTTAAAATCAGCTGACTTTTTTTTTTTTTACTTATTTTCTCATCCTGTGTTACTTTTTTTCTCAGAGAAGTTTTGAGTCCACTATAACAATTAAACTTGAAAGAAGGAAAGTTTGAAATGGCCACAGACTAAATGGTTTGTTCCCAATCAGAATAAGTAGGCAGAGAGACTGCTGTAGTGTGTAAATGGCATTAAATGCTCTGGGCTACTGTAGGTGGAGAGGAGGGAGCAAGGATGCGCATTACTGTAATGTAGAGTACATCAAGTATTAAGTAAAATTGCCCTTTTAAACAATATAATTTGATTAGGGAAATGGAAATTGATGAAGAAGATTGCCTTGAAAATATAACAAATGTGATTACAAAGCTAGAAGTAGAGGTGGTTGGCACTTAATGGTGCACTTCTCTTTGTAAGGTTGTTCCTTAGATAAGAGTTCTGAAAAAGAAAAGAATTCTGAAATGGACTTCTTTGATATTTTCCATCAGAAAAAACAATTAGGTATTTTTTTTTCTGGCTGAGCAGACAAGAAACAATCTAAAGAAGAATGGATTTGATTTGTCACTTTCAGTTTGCTCAGTTCCCAGAATACTGCTGTACTCGAGCGTGAGAGACATTGACTTTGTATTCTGGCTTTTGTTAAATGGCTTTGAACAAGGTTTTCTCAAATGGCTTTAGAGAAAGAGTCTGAAACCTAATCTGAGTATCTGAATATTGTCACCCCTGATCTTGGGGTTGTGTTAGATGTACAGATCTATAGGAGAGGACAAGATGAAAAAACGGAGCTCAGCATCTGAAAAGAGTAGCTCTACAGACAATGGAATCTTTGAGTGATCCTGGTTGGGGTTGCTTTGGAAAGGAGAAGCTTTGATGCTTTGTGGAAAAGCCAGCAGCACTTTTTCAGAGTTTTCTCAGTATTCTAGAAAAGGATTCTCTCTTTTTCCTTTCTCCCCCCCCCAACTGTGTGTGTGTGTGTGTGCACGCACTAGACAGTAAAAGAAGGAATGCTGTCTCCAAGATAATGAGCTTTTGCCTGATTGATTAAGATCTTCACTAAAGCTGTATGTAAAAGAATCACATGTGGAAATAGATACGTGGGAGATTTTGAATCTTCTTTCCCTGTCCTAAAGCTTCAGGTAGGGAATGGAATATGTGCATGATGTTTTGAACTTAATCTGGTTCAGGTTTTAGTTAAGGGGTTGGAGTTGGCAAGGCAAATACTGAGCATGAGTACCAACTGCCAAGCTCTTCACCTAAGCACATGGCAGACATCATGAAACCATCAAGGCAGTCTTTCTTAGAGTTCTCAGGTAGCCTTGTTATCTTAACTGATCTGTATGACACAGAAGACAAAAACGTGTTTGTCCACCATAGTCTTAAAGCTCCTATAACGGGGACTGTGGGAATTACAAAATAGTATAGAAAACTGTTGAGTAGAAAACTGTTCTGAATCTTGTCATGCAACCCAGGGATAGGCACACCACCATCACGCACCAGTCCAGCATGCTGGAAACGGTTTTAAGACAGATTTCAGCACTCTGAAAGAAAGATTCAGGCACTTTCTTCAGAACTCTGGAGAGGGTTTAAGAGAGGTTTCACCTTCAGTGGCATTCCTGCTATTGGGAGGGAAGCTTAACCCCTGTGGGTCTGAAATATGAGGAGGAAAAGTAAGCCTTATTCATTTGTAGCCTGGACAGTTTAATGGATGCACTCCTTTACCTTGCTAATCTGTATGAAATCTGAAATGTACAAAAAAAGATTTTTTTTCTAAAAAATGCCTTTATAAGTAAATATGGCAAAAAAAGGCGAAGAAAACATTCTTTTTTAATCTTTCCTTCAGTTCTGGGGTTTGAATTCAGGGCTTCTCATGGCTGTGCGACAGGTGTTTTGCCTCTGGAGCCATGCCTCTGGCCCATTTTTGCTTTTTGGTTATGTATCAGATAAATTCTCCAGTTTTTGTCTGGGGTCCAGCCTTACTTATACTCTGATCCTTCTTTAGCCTTGTCAGAAGCTGGGATGACAAAAGTGAACCATGATACGCATGTTTATTGATTGGTATGGGGTCCTGCTAATGTTATGAACTTCCATTCTCTTGAGTGACTGAGACTAAAGGTGTGAGTCATTCTGACTTTGCCCTTCTTGATTAGTTTGGTGAACTTTGTTTTGGTTCAAAACAACACAAATTTATTATATTCCAATTCCACAGGGCAAAAGTCCAAC